CCATTTTTTTTTTTTTGGGGGGGGTGATGGTATGCTTTGGGGGGATAACATTAAACCTTGATGAATATTTAAGATTTTAATACTTCAATCATTGGATTTTAATAAGTGATCGAATAATACTTCAATCACATTTTATTCGTTTTTAGAAACATTGGATTTTTCAAGTTATACGTTATGCCCTCCATACAAACAGACTTTATACATTATCTAAGCATTTTCTAGTAAAATTGTAATCTAATTAGTGCTTAGGGAGCAATTAAAAATAACACTTAATGTAATATACACATAACACAAAGTAACCAAAAATAAACTTATTTTGTCAATTGACCACATTGTTTTTTCCCAACATAAGACTCATTCACTTTTAAAAGAAGAGTTTAACTTCTTTTATTCATTTATTGAACTTAGTCCATGTTTTACTTCTAGTATGGGTAATTTCTTTATGATCGATGGTTGTTGTTAACATATTCTACACAATCACCATATGAGAAAAGAAGATTCACCTTCCTGATAAGGTGCATTATACATGACAGAGCTTGAAGTGTTTGGGGTGCTACAACAAAATTCAACACGTATAAGCATCCCCCAAGTCCTCAACGCATATACTCTTTATAGAACACCAACTACTCCTCAATACTACCTCAGAAGGTATCAATAACAGGTTGATTTCAGCAGTTCTTTTGCAAGTGTAACTATGTATGACAGACAACATACAAGAAAATACATTACAGTCAGTGTAGATTGTTTCAGTCACTAGCTTCATAATATCTTCTTTTGGGGAAATATATGACCAGTCCTCCCCTTGTAGCCATGATTTTTTTTTGTATCTCTGTTTCAGCAGACACGGTTAAATGTTCATAAAAAAAAAGCTATCAACATTTGCTTATGATTACACACAGTATCTGTCAGAGAAGTTTCTAGTATAAAAGTAGTTCTCTCTCAAGGAGAATTCGGGGAAATTATATGCTAAAGCACACAAGTTAAGATCCCAAAATCAATTTTGCTATAAATGTATGATACATCAAACGATTTAGATTTGATGAACTAAATGTATGATTTACCAACATACCAAAAGGAGCATCGCAGAATCTTCTCTGTTATCCTTGAATGTGATACATGTATGTTTAGCGGTTTAACTTCATCTACCAAAATACAATTATGAAAAACATAGTCCTCTTGACAACATGTTTAAGTGCATAACTCTACCACTCTTGGGCGGAGCCAGGGGGTAATAGTGGTCAGCTGACCCCCAAAATGTTTAAGCATATAGAGCACTCAAATATCTTTAATTTTTTTATGTTATGTCTCTAATTCATTATGTGCCAAAAGTTATTACTTCTGAAAAATCAACATCACCTAAACTTGAAATGAGTACAATTTGATATGTAGTACAGAGTTACATTCACGAATTTAAAAAATGTTCTATTCACTCATTAGCTACGTAAAGTTTATGATATACTTGTATTACATACGTAGTGTATAACAAACCAATAACTCTCTAGGTCTCATTTGAATTAAAGTTTATTCTACCTACATATGAATTATTCAACTCAAATATTGTCTCAAAAATGACCTCATCTTTTGATATTGTGCTAAGTTTTGAACCCTAATATGCTTTTCAGCCCTCCTATTTATACCCACTAATGTGAGGGGGTATTTTTTTGTCTGTGAATCTCGTTCATACACAAAACATGTCTAGTTTTTGCACAGACAAAACAAGATATTTTTTGTCTGAACGTGATTCACAAACAACAATATAGCATCTAACATTGGTGAGTATAAGGGTGGGTACAAATAGTGTTTTTCTATGCTTTTTAGCTCTATCACTACTAAGGCTCTGTTTGCAACTACTTGTGCTTAAATAAAAGCATTTTTTGGGAAAAAGTGATTAGTAGTAAAAGTTGGTAGTGTTTGGTAAAATAAATGTTTTTTGTGTAATAGAAAAAGTAAAAAGTAGATTGTACACGAGGAAACAAAAGTTGGTAGTGTTTGGTAAAATAAGTGCTTTTTTCTTATAAAAAAAGCCAAAATCACTTTTTTTAATTGATTGCAAACAAAGCCTAAGAAGTCAGAACTGACATTTGCATTTCAATGAAATGGATACTGCCTGAGAAAACATAAGAATATATCATATCCATAAGAATTTTGTGGGATCGATTGGTTACGTTGTCAACCTTCTTACCTGTAGATGAATATATGAATATATGATAGAGAAGTAAGAGTGTAAGACTGAACGCATGTAAGTACGCTATGATGAAGAAAAGGAAAAAAGGGCATTTTAATGGACCAAAGCATCAAGCATCTACAGTGGTTTAAAATCATCATTATCAGCACCTTAATCCCTTCATAGGAAAGATAATGAGATTAAGATTCTAAAACCATCACCATCGTATTAGGTTATTTACGCATTAATGGAAAACACCATAAGACAGCCTTTTTTTATAAATCGGAAAGGAAAGGCCAAATGAAAAAATTAATAATTCTACCTCTTATTATTTTGCTCAACAGTCACCGAACCATTTCTGCTTATTCTGCATACCTCTGCGGCAGGGGCATTGCTAACTCGAATGTCGGACCACTCTACTTACTCTTATTGCAGGGGCCAAAGTTTAAAATATTTATACAGATTAACATACTTTCTACAGATTAAAATATCAACATACTTTCTACAGATTAAAATATCAACATACTTTCTACAGATTAAAAGTATTTATATATAATGTATACTTAAGAATTTCTTTTCTTGCAGGGGCCGGGGGCCGTGGCTACCTCCAGCCCTTCCCTGTCTCCACCCCTGCATAATGGGATGTTTTTTTAGAGCCATAATGGGATGATCTTGCATCCTTTAATTCTTTCTTGATAAGTTGATAGGCAAGTCGGTAAGTGGATGTATATACTCTCTAATTAAATAAAACCCGACTAATAAATACTCCCTCCGTCCCATTTATATTGTCCCGGAAGAAGGTGACACGGTTATTAAGAAAAGTAGGTTTTTGTGGTTGATATTAATTGATAAACTAAGAATAAAGTAAGAATGATTTAGAGCCACACAAACTTTGCCAAATATGGTATGAGACAATATAAGTGGGACTTCCCGAAAAGGTAAAACGAGACAAAATAAATGGGACGGAGGGAGTAATGTTTTACACAATTATGGATGAATTCATCCTACTAATAAAATTTAAATCATAGAAAATCAGACCAAACAAAAAAATGTAAGACTAGTCCAAAATCCAAATTATCAACAAAATTCCATTTTATGAACACTTGGGAACAATTTTGTGGTCTAAGATACAAGAGAACAATAGAAGTATGTGGACTTGTACATAAAGAAATAGTTGTTCAAACTTCAAACTATAAGCATGTTCTTTTTTAATTAAAATTGAGAGAACTTCCAATTTGATCCTCGTACTCTCACGAAAAGATTTTCATACATAAGAAATTCAATCAAATTCCTGAATTTTGAAAAAATATTCAAATGGGTCCATTATCAGGTTACCTGCCACGTCAGTAGATAACTCGCTCGTGTGGCGCACACGAGGCGGTCTATGTGTGTATCGCGTCATCGATAAAGGGCTGAGTAGGCTTCCACATAAGCCAAATCAATGTTGACTGGGTTGCCACGTGTGTCACGGCAGCAGGTGACTTGATTACGTTGCGTGTAACCCGTTAATAGATTCAATTGAACGTTTTCCAAAGTTTGGAGATTTGATTGATTATTTAAAAGTACTAGCACTTGATTGACTTTTCTTTGATAATACAAAAACCAGATTGACAATTTAATACATTAAAATTTGTTAATGTATTCGCAAAACAAAGCTCTTTCTACAGGCCAATTCATGCTGAAGGCTGATTGTTATGTGCAGGGATGGCTTCAGACGCAACAGGCTAGCAAGGTAGGCGGGAGGGCTGCTCAGAGCTCCTGATCTACGTGGTGTCGCCCAGCAGCGGATAGAGTGAAGCTGAACATTGATGTAGCTATCCGGACAGATCATTGCGGACTGGGATGGTGTATTCGCAATAACGAGGGCGAGTTTCTGGCTAGTGTGGCGCGTCCATGGGCAGGCTAGGGGTGGACTCGGGCCGGGCGGCCCGGCCCGGAACCGGCCCGGCCTGGTCACTGTTTGAACCGGCCCAAACCGCCGGCCCGGCCAGGGACCGGTCCGGGTAGGCCCGACCCGCTGGGGTTCCGGGCCGGGCTCGGGTCCTTGAAAAGGTGAACCGGCCCGGACAGTTCGGGCCCGGTCTGGGCCTATTTATTTTTTTCCTTTTTTTTGAATTCTTTTTAAGTTTTTGGTTGGGCTGAGTATTTTGGGCCATTTGAGGTGGTTTGGGGGTGAGGGGGGAGGGTTGGGGGTTAATTAGGAAAAGCCAAAAAAAATTAAGTTGAACCGAGGCCCGGCCCGGCCCGAACCGGACCCGGGGGTTACCCGGGCCGGTTCCGGGCCTCCCCTTTCATTAACCGAGGCCCGGCCGGGCCCAGGCCCGAACCGGGCTCGAACTGGCCCGAGTCCACCCCTAGGACAGGCTGTCTTACTACGCTAGAAGCAGAACTTATAGGCATAAGAGAGGCCTTGGGTTGGGTGCAAGGAACAGGATGGACGGAGATTGATATTGAGTCAGACGCTTCTAGAGCTATTTTGGAAATTCAAAAGGGATCAAGTTGTGCTTCTTATGGGTTAATTGCAGATGATATACGAGAGCTGGCGAAGAATTTTTCTAGCATTTCTTTCTCTCATATTAGGCAGTCAGCGAACAAAGTAGCTCATGCTATTGCTAAAACTGCTTGTTCTTTATCTGATTCACAATCTTGGTTTTCTGTTGCTCCCGCATTTATCTCTTCTGTTTTGAACTCAGACCTTGTTAATGAAAGTTAGTCCTTCTCTTTGCAAAAAAAAAAATCAACCAATTCCGTTTTTGTAAACAATAGGCTAAAACACCGGTTAAGGTTCTCATTCTGTCTTTTACCGGAATCAGACTTGATCTACCTTAGTATGATATGTGATCATTGTGATGTGAATTTTATTAAACTATTGCTGAAGGATGAAAAGAACATGTTCTAATGAACAAATTAAAGGAATGGAAAACCTTAATAGCAACCTCATACAAGAATATCTATCGTATAATAAGTACATCTATGACTTCCATTGTCAGATTGTAATCCCTTTAAGCTTCTCCACTTTAAAATGTACACACAGCTAGGAGAAGGACCATTCTGATTTCAGGAGCAGTATACATCACACACATTTTGTAGCAAAGTAGTTACACTGAAACAGGCTATGGCTATCAACAACACAATGCTTAACCTGCAAACACCAGACGCAAACGTGGAAAATTGTCCAGAACACTAATTATCAGGCGGGGGACCCGATTCAAAGAACTTGGCGACAGCCTTGTAGAGATTCTCTTCCTCAAACGGCTTTGAGACATATCCATCCATCCCGCATTTGAGGCATTTGTCTGACGTGGCATGAATGACATCGGCAGTCATGGCCAATATTGGCACATGCCACTCTGGCCTTCCCCCGTTCGCCCCATGCTCATTTGCTTCTTTTTCCATGTTACGAATACGACGTGTTGCTTCAAATCTGTAAGGAATAAGAATGTGCATGGGTAAGTCAAACAAATCTGTAGGCGGGGACTAGCAGGGTGTAGGAGTGAGGTATATAAATTGCACTAGATGGTAGTAAAACATATGTATGCCCTGATTCTAAAAACCACAGTTTGTGCTTTCTTCCCAAAATAAGAATGATAAATGAAAAATAGTGGTTTTTAAAAGTCTAATATGGTCATCAAAATATTTGAGTCTAAGAGCACTTTTGATAAGGGTAAAGATGGTTGAATCTGCTGAATAATATCTAAAAATAATCTCAAAAGTATCAATTTCATCCATTTCTTGCTACGTTTTTTGTCTAAATTGTCAAAGAATGGTGTGAATGAAGCTAATTTGTAGAGTAAGTTATTTCTGACATGTAAAAGAATATTATCTTTATTGCAAATTGTCAATTTATGGTGCAAATGAACCTTATTTCTAGTGATCTCAAGAAAGTAAACTGCTACTAGTAATATGCAATAAATTATACTCCCTCTGTCCCTAAATTTACTTCCATTTCGCTTTTCGAGAGTCAACTTAAATCACTCTTAAACTCTTACTTTTTGTATCAAAACTTTATGAAAATTGTTTTTTTTTGTGCAGGCTTTGTAGCGGGTTTAATGTAGTTTCTGAATATGTAAATTTTATTTACTAAAAATAATCCGAGTTTTCACAGGGATCATTTAACTTTATCGTCGGTCAACCTTCGTAATCCGTAATCGGAACAACATTCAGGGACGGAGGGAGTAGTAGAATAGAAAACCGTACTAGTGCAGCTGATCTCCGATGTGTGTACATGTCTTATTTTGACTGTTAATCTTATGCTTACATTTACACACATTGGAGATTGTCTACACTAACAATAATGTTTCCTATTTCTATTATTATTTTTATTTATTGCATACTACAATTAGCATTTTTCTTGCTCTAGAAATAAGGTTCATTTGCACCATTAATTGACAATAAAGATAAGACTCTTTTACATGTGTTATTTTTTTAAATGTGTTACATACACATTATAAATTTATAACTGTCTATGTTCTAAGTTTCTGACCATTCAAAAGGTAACACATGCCTATTCTTTTCATTAACAACCAATTCAAACAACATGCCCCAATAATATATACTCCGTAGTTAGTGTTTCGCGAAAAAACTGGCTCATTAAGCTGATAAGTGAAGACTCGCCAAGAAGGCTCTCTGAACCTCAGTATAAAAGCACTAGAATACATTTTACGTATACGTGCAAAATATATGAAATAGAGATTTATTTTTTACCCATCCATTTCAGGCATCTGAATATCCATGAAGCAGGCATCAAAATTGTGGGGTATCTCTAGCAATGCAAGAGCAGCTTTCCCACTCTCGGCGCACTCCACATCAGCCCCAAACTTTTTCAATGCACCGGCAGCAACTCTCCGGTTAACCCGATTATCATCAACGACCAATATTCTTTTTCCACACAGTAGGCCTCTCAATGACAATCCTTTGCACCTGTCTTTATCTTGTGGGATCTTCTTTCCCATTCCCAATTCCTGATGAAGGCATGCTCCAACCATACTTGCCCTCAACGGCTTCATAATTATGGTATCTGCAAATCCCGCTGCTTTCGCTTTCTCAAACTCATAACCCGAAATATCGACTGCAAGAAGAATCACCTTTGGTGGTATCTTTTTGTACGTATGTCCATTTGGTTTCATCAAATTTGATAGGAACGAATTTAACTCTCCATCTTCAGATATCCATACATCTTTCTCTACAAGAATCACATCTGGCTCGGGCTGACTATTGAGAAAAACGACAAAGGTCATCTCAAAGAAACTATGTAAAATATAACTATATAAGTAAAAAAAACAAAGCTCCAGAGAGAACTTCTTTAGAGTATATTTGAATCCGGGAAAATGGTAGGGAAAGGGGGGAAATGCCAAGGCAAGTTATTTCTTGAGTTACATTTCATATGGAAAATGCAAATCAAAATGAAATACGATTCATGTTTCAAAAAAAGGGGTTTTCTTATAATAGGACTGTTTGCAAATGCTTTTTAAGGTGTTTTTCAACTTTTTGCTTTAATAATGCTAAAATTAGTGTTTTAAAATAGGCACGTTTCTTCTTAAATTTAAGAACTTTAAAGACAAAGCTGTTGACGGAGGGGGTAAAACTACGTTTCACTTTCTCTATAACTTTTACTCTAACAATACACTAATAAGTAATACGTACATTAATCAGTTTACTTTCAAACAATACTTCTACAATTAATCATTTTTTCTATAATCTCTAAAATAAATCACTTCTCAATTCTCACAATCGCGCACACACTCCGTATTACTAAAGAAATCATGAACAGAAATATGATATACAGACACTACAATCATAAATCCAGTACAAAATTGAGCATTAGTATTTTCACTAAAGTCACTGAATAATAGGCTAAAAGTTTTTTTACTCTAATAAAAATAGATAAATAAACTGAGTTTTAACAAACCTAAAAAACAAATTAATTGAGTTTGAATGAAATGTCCCACAAGTTTTCTTTATTGCAAATTTCTCCTATACTTTTCTATCATTTTCTTCCCTCGTTATTTTGCGAGTTCCAGATGAACCCTAAGAATACACTTACATGGAAATCAGGGAACTGTTTCTCCCAGATAAAGCTGATGATGCTTTCATAATGCTGTCTACCACCTCAACTTGCACACCAAGTCTCTTGAGATGATACCTCGTAACAGAAGCCCTAACTGGCTTCCGGTCAACTACGATAGCTCTTAGTCCTTTGAACGACAAGGGCAAGTCATCTGGAAGACTCTTTTTCAATTCAATGTTTCCATTTAATGGCTCATACCTCTGGAACTTAACAGTGAAAGAGAAGGTGCTTCCTATATCGGGACGGCTGATGAAAGTTATACGACCACCCATCAGCTCAACCAGACACTTACTTATGCTCAATCCAATCCCGGTCCCTCCATAGTTTCTGGAAGTGGAACTGTCTGCTTGCATGAAGGGAGTGAACACTCTGTCCTGTGCATGCAAAGGGATCCCAATTCCAGTATCTTCAACTGATACCATCAGTGTGATTATATCCTTCTCAGAAGAAGGGGCGTCTTCATCGTTTCCATCTTTATTATTGTTATTATTATAGTAAAATGTTTCATCAGCATGCTTAAAATTGTCCCAACTGTTCCGATTATCAGCAGCTTCAAAACCACTTAAGGTTTGAACAGATCCTACTCCATTCAAGCATGCTTCGCTCATTTGTTGTGCCTCTTCGGCAAGACTAACTTGAATGAACACATGTCCTCGTTCTGTGAACTGTAATTAATACATGTAAATTACTGGTTATATTCACAGTTTATATTAGAATTATAGTAAAAGTTCAAGTCATCAATGGATTAAAGTGGCATTATAGTTTTTAAACAGGCGTTTGGTAATGATTATAATTCTGCTTTTCTTGGAAACAACACTTTTTTGTTTTTAATTACATGAATTCAGCTTTGAAACTATTCATGAAGCACTGAGAATTTTTATGAAATGATATGCATAATAAATAAATGGGTGGGTGGGTGGATGGATATACTCCCTCCGTTTTGTAATGTTTGTTACAATAGGGTTTGACACAATGTTTAAGGGAAATGTAATAGGGATAATGAATAGTGTAAAAAAGTAGGAGAGTTGAAAAGTATGAAAGAAAAGATAAAATGTAAAAAAAATATGGATAATTGAGTATTTTTAAAGGAACCATACAAAAAGGGAAAGTATAGCAAAGATTAAATTACATCTCATAAGGAGTGTAGAAAACAAAAGAATACCGAGGAGGGAGTATGTACATACATAAATAGTTAAATACTAAAAGACACATGCCAATCAAACATGTTTTATATTTTTAAATTGACAATAGAACAAAAATAAAAATTACAGAAAGTGTAACTAAATGAATCTTTACTGTTCAACTTGTTTAGAATAACGAGTATATTATGGTGATAGAGGCTGGAAAAGTAAGTTTGTCAACCATCACTTACTTTGACAGAGTTACCAACCAAATTTGTTATGACCTGCCTGAATCTTCCTGGATCTCCCATTACAATTTCAGGAACCTTATCAGAGACAAGCACCGCCAACTTCACTTCCATAAATTTGTATACCAGCCCCCACAATTCATCAGGTGAATGAACAACCAAAAATTAAAACAAATACACAACTAAGTACATATATAGTAAAAACTTCATTACAAAACAGAAAGCCCAATAGTAATTCATATATAGAAAACTTAATAGCCCTTAATTACCTCAACGCCCTTCTTCCTAGACTTCTCTGAGAATAAAGGGAGGACATCATCAAGAATGGAACGAAGACCAAAAGGGACGGTCTCAAGTTCTAACTTTCCTGCTTCAATCTTTGCCCGATCTAGCACTTCATTTATCAACGTTATCAGTGCCTTTCCACAAGCTTGTGCTGTCTGTGCATAATCTCTTTGAGTCGAACTCATGTCTGTATCTAATAGTAGAGCAAGCATTCCTGCAGTAATAGATACGCATTGAAGAGATTTATTTGAAACACTTGACTCGTCCAAAAAATAAAAGCCAAGGAAAAGTATCTCCCTACCTAGGATTCCGTTCATGGGAGTTCTTATTTCGTGGGAAACAGTGGCTAAAAACTGTCATTATTATTAGCAAAAAAAGTCAATAAAACCGGAAACAGATTAAGTATTTACTTATTTAATGGTAATAAAAAGATTCCACATGTTGGGAAAGGCTCGTTTGGAAAACCTGGGATTTGGCGACATCAGCAGCTTCAGCTTTAACCTTCAGTTTCTGCATTTTGTGGAAATCATCCTCCACTTTAATGATGTGAAATGCAGCACCGTATGAGATGTATCCAACCAAAACGGCAATCACAAAGAAAAAGGAAGCAATGATCAAAGCAGCCCATGATGTAGCAGCCTTTTGAAGATATCTGCAGCAGCAAACAGATCATAACTACCCCAAAATATCAAGCAGTATCTTTCTGACTTACATATCAATGACGAAAGCAGATTGAGACACTAACCTGCATATCATCTCATGCTTACGAAACGGATCCCCAAAATCAAGCTTGCTCACATGCTTAAGGGACAGGTCACCCACTTGGTTTTGATGTCCATACATGACTAGAGGGTCAGAATAGTTGGTAATGTCATATACATTTACCACAATTCCTTGGTTTCCAGCTAGTTGGCCGAGCAGGTTTTCGACAAGTGACTCAACATCAAAGGCTCCACCAATGTATCTGTATATTTGTTAATGACATACAAAGTTGAAAGTTTTCTCAGGAAAGTGATAGTAAATGCTGAATTACAGAAGAAGAAATTGTAAATAAAAGTGGGACAATTCTATAAAAGACCATATGTGTGCAAATAATCTAATAGAGCTTAAGAACAGGTTGTATTTACATCTCCGTTTGTTACCCATGATTGGCTTATCCTGATTATTCTATTGGTCATTGGTCAGAATAAGTAGCTTTTGATTTACTTATTTGGCTGAAATGGATAACGGCGTGCTTTCACTTTAAGAAAATCCAGCAGAATCAGCCAGCCATTTCAGCCAACTTCCTCTTATCAAGTGGGCTCTTTATGAGGCTTCAAAACATACCAACTCTGTGTACCAAATAAAAACACAAAGCTGAAATTTAAATTTTTAATGAATGCAAAATCATCAAAACAGAGAGCAACAATATAACACAAGCACATGCATGGATAGGGCGTCTTCCACATTTTACTGCATTACTTAATTCAAGTAGTTTTTTTAATAAGCTGAACAAACTTATGTACATTTAATTGAACAGGTTTCCATGTATTACCAAATTTCTGAGTTTTAGGTTTCACCTGTCAAGCTAATTGTGGAACAGACCATCTCACTATTTTGGGTAAGCTAGCAATTTAAGTAGATATTAAGTGTCTACTTGGCTTCATCTGTAGATATTAAAACAAAATGACTTAAAATAATAGGTCTTACACAACCTGCAAGAAAACAAAATCTATAGCATTACCACAGTTACAACCTCTTTTCAACCAGTTACAACTCAAAAAAGCACCTTCATTAAAACACTTAATCATCTCAACCATTACAAAAAATCTTCATAAATAAAAGAAATACCCTGCAGTCGCTTGAATCCTTTCTTGTTGGGATGGGTAAGCCCCCAGCGTATATTTGTAAACAGGGAATGTCAAAACAACGCCAAGGTGGTTAGAACCAAGAAGCCTGAAGGGACTTGTCAGAACAGCTTTCCCAGTCGCCCTGGCTCTCAATATGTTTTCACGGTCCTCCTGTTTTCAATCAAGATTCAAGAATCTTCATATTTGTTTGTTTGTGTGTGTGCGTGTGTGTAATCAAGAGAGAGATTTAACTGAGCTATAATACCTCTCCAGACATCATGTCGATTGATTCGAGATAAGAAACAGTTTCTTGAGCGAGTATGACCGCGGCATACTCATCCCGAATGGGAGAAGGCTCTTTATCCATTTTTCTAATAGTCCATCCATGCTGCTTCTCAAAGTTCTCCCTCTGGAAATTCATAACTCTCTCAGCATATGCCACACCACTCAATAATGGCCTCTCAAAAGCTGTTCTCGCCGTATACTCGGCAAAAGTTTCCTTCAAACATAACATTTACACATCAATACACATACATAAGAACACAAATCAGTTATTCATTAAGAAATTACTCTGACCTTATCGATTGCAGATGGATTCTTGTTGTAATAGAAAGTGGAGACGAGGATGGCAAGGGCGTGGACGTGATTAACGCTAACACTGAATTGGTCCTGTAACATTCTGGCCCTCTGATCACACATACTCACCAGTGTCTCGTTCCTCCTCACCTTGTTACCATTGTCTAGGTAACTGAATATGGCCCAGCTGACCAGGGAAGCTGCTAGAAGCCATAGGGTCAACAGCTTTGGGAGCCAATACCTGTGAATCCATGGGTACCTTTTCTTTCTGTTCAACTGCTCATTCAACCTCATCGTCACCATGTGGTGTCTGCTTTGGCTTTTTTGAACCACTACCTTTTGACCCATCTCAACACGAACAACACCCCACCACTTCAGTACCTTTTTCTTCCTCAACTCACCACCTAACACAACATGCCACCAATCCCACCATTTACTATCAGGCAAACTAGAATGTTAATTTTCTTGGGGGGAAAGTTGCAGTCTTGAAGAAAACACCTTTTCTTTTCTTTTTTCTTTTTTTTTGGGTGCAAAGTGCAAACCCAGGTTTTTTCCATCAATGTTTTTCAAGAAACATATAGAATGGAAATCTGTAAGGAAAACACAGTTTTTGTGTGAAAACACACACAGTGCTTGTTCTGCCCAAAGTTTTTTTTTCAAGAAACCAGAAAAAGTGGGGGTTTAAGAAAGATGAAAACTCCATACCTCATAGAATGGAATAAGCATGGAGTAGAACAAGGCTTGCCTGAAGGTCCCTCAAGAGTAGCAAAAATAACTCAAACTGCAAGGAGAAAGGGGTGACTGAAAGAGTGAAAAAAGTTACTCCAACTTTCCACCTCTACAAGGAAACCTGTACTGTCCTCCCTGTGAGCGAGGACGAAAGAGTACAGCCAAAGAACAGCAAGTTTGCTGTTCAATGGACCATAAAATAGTGAGTTTGACCAGCGAAGCACAACCACAGGAGGGGGAGAAACACAACAAACTATTGGGTGTTCCTGAGGATATTATAGTTGTGCCTTCTTTGAACTGATTTCCCAAAACACCCAAATCCTGTAAAAACTACTTCGCAATTAAGCCTTCCTTCCTTCTTCTTCTTCTCTTACTAAAAAAAAAATCTGCTTTTATTATCAACAACTTGTTGGGAAGTGATACACTCTAGGAATAAAATAATGTGAAGTACTACTCATCATCTTCTTTTTCTCCTTGCTTTTCAAAGTGACTGAATCGAATTTTAAGGATTTTTGCAGATACGCTGTTGTCCCCTCATAGCCCACCCTCTTCTGGTCCATTCATCTATTCCCCTCTCTCTCTCCTCTCCAGAAACCCCATTTCTCTCTCTACAAAAATAAAGAACACTTTTTTGCACAACCAACTTGTTTTGCCCGTTTGGGCATTCCTCCATTTCTCTCACTACAGCCCATTATTATCTGCAACCCCGAGTTTGCCATTTTTTTAAAATTTCTTTTGACTTTCAAAGCTAGTAAAAGATGGCTGAAGCTGAAATATTTGTACTCTGCAATTAATTAAATCATTAAGATCAGTAAAGAGTTCGGTTAGGACTTCGTGGTCCGTACTTCTTCTGTTTTACCTTGCAGTTAAGTATGGTAGCGCAGTATTGATTTCTTTTAGCTATTTAGCGGAAAGTGATGATAAAGGAACTTGGTACACATTTCACAACTCCTTGTTTTAGTTTATTTATCATCTAAATTTTTATTTTCATAACAATCAAAATAAATAAAATTAGAATAATTTTCATATTTGTTTCTTAATTTTATTGATAAAATATATTTTAAATATAAAATTTTCACAATTCAACTACGTTAGCCAGAATATTATTAATTTCAATGTATATACTATATAGTCAATTTCAATTTTATCAAGCGAGCTCTCATTTTCATACTTTGGTTTAGACTGTAGATTGGTATTAGGGGATTTTCCAGATATTACGAGTATTGTGATTTCGGTGCAAAAATAAGTTCATTACATGCACTCGTAATTTTTACTTGGATATAAATTAATTTGTTTTTCTTTAAGTTTAGGGAAAATTCCCGAAATAGGACTAAAAAAGTCTAAAAATTCCAAAATAGAACTGTCGCGTTTTTATTTCCAAAATAGGACTAAGAGTAATTACTGCCACGTTTGGAAAATACTGTCATGTTTGAAGTCCGGTACTGCCAAAACATGGCAGTAATTAGTTCTATTTTGGGAATAAAAATATGAAAGTCCTATTTCAGAATTTGCAAACTTTTTTAGTCCTATTTCGGGTAATATTTTCCTAAGTTTAATATTGTCCGATTTGATTTATTTAAGTTTATTTTGATCTTATATATTACCTCCATCCATGAAACAACTTCTTATTTCATATTACGATGTTTGACTGACGATAAAGTAATTTGATCTCTGTTCACACTCAGATTATTTCTAGTAAATAAAATTTATATGTTTAGAAACTACATTAAAATCGCTACAAAGTTTGATAAAAAAATGTAAATTTGATAAAAAAGAATGATATATAAAGCAAAAGATTAAGAGTAGTTTAAGTTGGTCATATAAATAGTGAATGAGAAGTTAATTTTAGAATGGATGAAGTATATCTTTTATGTTTAATTCTGATCTGATTATTTAAAATCGATTTAATTTCGTTAAATTTAAATATCTTGTGGAGATAGATCAAACTAGAGAAACACAAGCTAGTGAATTATTGTATACTAATTTTTCACTATGAATTTACTCACGGTGGTGCTTATTGATTGAATAAAGCAAGTAGGTTAGTGTTTTCCGATTCTTTGTCCTTTAAAAACATGTCACATGATGGGCGTCTAGGTTGCACAAATGTACACCAAATAGGAAACGGCCAAGCACAACACTCAAAAAAGCCATTTTGAAAAAGAAAAAAGAAAGCTCTTTGTTTGGAGTACAAATATTTTGTTATACACATACATATTTTTATTCGGTTTTGTTTAGCAACGAAAAAATTCGGTACTTTAACAATCTTATTCAAAAGAGGCGATTAAGATGAATTTAACATTATCTTTCTATCAGCATAAAATCTCAAACATTTATCATATCTTATCTTCCTTCGTCTGGAAATAACTTCTCACTTTAGTTTTCACACATTTTTATATGAGTTAAAATGGAAAGTTGATTTTTCAATAATGCTCATACTTTATATCAAATCAATTAAAAGTAAGAGTAAATTTGATACTACGTATTTGTTATTGAAAAGTTACTTTTTATGGAAATGAGAAACTTATTTTGGAACACTCAAATAAAAAAAGTAAGGAATTGTTTTGTGGACGAGGGTGGTATAAAATACTACGTATGTAGCACAGAGTAACAAAGTGTGTAGCGATTTTACCATGCAAGAATGACACAAATATTATTTATGACCTTACAATTGACAAATATAAGATTACCTTCTCCTTTTGATAAAGAAAGAGGAAATTGAAACTAAATTGACTATATTGCCATGCCTCCGCTTGCTCATCCGTCCTCCCATTTCTACCCTTCAACCAACCTCTTCAAATCCCATTGATGCCAACTGATTGAATTTTCGATGTCGTTGACGTCACAACCAACCCATGTCTTTACATAGGTGAAGTAGAGTTCGTATCCGCAGGGAAAGGAATAACTCTCTTTTTATGAACTAGTAAATAAAGGGGAGGTTTTGATTGAGTGATTTAATTAAAATTAAACACGAAGATGAACGAGTTATATGTGATTTAATTCAAAGATAAAAAGGACTTGGTCTTGCTACTTTCCACTTGTTGATATATTTTAGTCAATCATTGTTATATCTATAACTTATCCCCTCTCGAATACTCAACCGAGGAGTATATCCAATTCATCGAGGGTAGTTATTAACAACGACCGTTCATTAATAACCCTTACTATTAATCAAATATAGAACAACGCCGTATACCGATATAATAGTAGCATTTAATCTCTTTAACTCCTTGATGAAATCAATTGAGATTGATAACCTCAACACAACGGTTTCGGTTTAACCAACAAAATTAATCCCTCTTAAGTTTATTAACCACGACCGTGCATTAATAAACCGAAGTTACTTACTTGTGAAACCATCAACGATTAACCATCGGTTCGTTGATCGCTTCTAGTAATAATCAATGTCGGAACGTTAACTAATCGTCACTTAGCAACCCTCCAACATTAATATAGAATGAGATTAAGGGAAGAATTAATAATCAAGAGAAGAAGTTAAGAAAATAACTCACAACTTTAATAATCAACAAGCTTCAAGAGCAAAACCAAGAAATGGAAGTTTAGCTCCTCATTTGGAGACTAAACATGCTATAAAAATATAAGTAATAACTATTCTAAACTGAGCTTAAGTATATGGAAGAAGGGATGATATAATGTGAAGGAAAAGGGGTGTATTTATAGGGAAATGAGGGTGGCAGGATCATGTACCCGACCGGGTGTTTAAGGTACCCGATCGGGTACTTAGCTCCGAGAATGTGAAAAACACCATTCATACCCGATCGGGTGTGTCGGTCTACCCGATCGGGTATGCGACCGGATCCTTCAAATATATTGCTCCCACGATCCTTTGTTTTCCCAGATTTGATTTGGACAACGAAATTAGGTCAACACCCGATCGGGTATTGCATATACCCGACCGAGTATATGAACTTTTTTCCAAATCAATTTTTGATCTTGTTCCCTTGCACACCTTTTGGTCTTTGGGATCCATTTCTTGATCCTTTGAGTGCTTTCAACCTGTCTTATGCTCAGAATAATCCTAATCTAAACAATTTACACCAATTTAAATAAAAACCAAACATTTCACCAAAAGTGTGTAATTTCCAAACTAGTGAATCACAAAACTAATTAAAAACGTACAAATACAGACGGAAATTACACACAAATCAGCGGGCGCATGGCGAGGGCAATGGACGGAGAACTATGGATAGGGGTGGCAGGCGTTGGGGAGCTAATGTCCCAGCTATAGTGAGGCGACATCTAAAGGTTCAGCTGGAAGACGGGGGTGGCGGTGATTCCTACTGGCTAAGGGTCATGGCGACAATGCCTAATGGCTGAGTGAGAAGGGGACAACCACAGTGGTACAGATCTGTGAAGGTGCAGTGGCGATACCAACTGGTCAAGGGCAATGGCGACGACTGCGGTGGTTCAGATTTATGACGATGAGTATGGTGATGCTACTAGCCGAGGGTTGGGCCATTGTCACGCTTCACCATCATTGCTGTTGTTCTCGGCTTAAGTCGTCATTCCAGCATATCAATAAATGGGATTTGGAACTGTGAGTAGGGTTGTACTAGTGATTGGATTGTGCAGCGACTGATTTGTGGGGTGAGGTCTGACGGTGGAGCAGAGGTGGGCTAATGACGATGGTGCGAAGGTTGGGGAGTGGTGGGTAGCGGTGGTGAGGGGATTAGGGAGGCAGGGGCATGGGGCTCTGGTGGAAAGGTAAGTGGTGACTATGCCTACTAGCTAAGAGAAGAGGAGGCACGAGACGATGTCAACCATGAGGAGCACCAAACTTGGTTTGGCTGGGCCTAGACATGGAGTCGACATTGGTGATGTGGCGGCATTTTCAGTGTGTGGAAATGGTTTTGTAATTAGGTCACTTCGTTGGTAATTGTATCTTACTAGAGATGGGCATTCTAGCCACTGACTGGATGACTAGGGAAGTGGGTCACTGCACCACCTTATGTAACTGGAGCAGGAGTCACTATGGTTGTTGGTCACTGTGGCGTCAGAGGTTATAGGTCATGTTAGTCTTATAGGGGCTAGCATACACCACCCTTTGATTCAAATACTAACTACAGATATGATGGTGTTGTGCCACGAAGATGTGGTGTCAGCAATTCTGTGAGCTTGGTGGTGTAATCATATTGTGGCGCTTTTCATGTTCTATAGGGGGAGGAAGGTGTGCTACAATATCAGCAATTGCTTTTAGTGTAACAGTAAGCGCAATCATTGTTCTAAAACTCACTAGGCGCTAGTCGGGCGGTTGAGGGACGCCTAGCGCCTCGACGGCCGAATAGGCCGATTTTTTTGCCGACTGGACCGATTTTTTGGCGACTGGGCCGATTAGTCCTCTACAGTTACGGTCGACTAAGTCGATTAATCGGTCCGACTAGGCCGATGTTTTGAACATTGAGCGCAATGATCCTCGAGCGGTGTCACAACTAAATTTATTGATAAAACAACATCACATGTATGGCAGAAACATTCCAATGTGATGCAACCCCTCATGTCTACCCACCGCTCAATAGTAGGACTCTGCACTACTGTAGTGAACTGTGCCCTATGTGAGTTTACCTTAAATTGATAATAATATAGTAATGTGTTAAATAAATTGTGTTCACGTCCTTATCACCAATTAGTTTTATGTAGGATGTATCATTTGTTTAATCATGGAACTCTGTAGTTAAACGAGCTTAGCAGTAGGAAAGCTCTAGAATGAGTCACCCGC